ACATTATGGTACACTGTTAACATGTATGACAATATTGTAAGCTGTTAACATGTATGCCATATGGTAAACTGTTAACATGTATTACATTGTGTACACTGTTAACATGTATGGCATTATGATACACTGATAACATGTATGACATTATGGTAAACTGTTAACATGTATGACTTTATTGTACACTGTTAACTTGTATGACATGACAGTACACTATTAGCATGTATGGCATTATGGTACACTGTTAACATTAAAATAACAATATTCAAAAAAATAATAATAATCAAAATTCATTAAAATAACAATTGATTGCAATTCTGATTATGAAAACAAGTAAATTTATTTCTATGCTGAGGGTCATGTAAACACAGGGACTATTGTTAATATAGCATCAATCGTAAAATACTATGCTGATTCGTGTTTGATAGAGGTTGTTAAAACATAAGCAAGTAGATTTTAGTTGATCACGTTGATTTCCATATTTATGTGATATTTCCTAACAAAAATTAGTCAACAAAGGAAACAACTAAGTTTATTTGAATTCATGTTATGAACTGCCTGTAAACTGTAATGTAGGTTTTACCGATAGGTTAAAGGTCATGTTAAACTATTTGTTGGCCATGTATCTTTCATAATTTGCCCACAAGACGTATTAATTTGTTCTTTAGTTATAGTTTTCAGACAATGATGTTTTGTGCGATTAACTAAACTCTAAATAGATGTTAATAGTATAGTATAGTATAGTATAATATGCGTCCGAAATTACTAGTATATGACACTTTTTAAACTTGTATCTCCCTACAGTATACTGTATCACTTGAAGCTTAACTCGAATTAAAATGTCAGACCACCCTACTCATCAGTCTTCTGGGGAAGGTTTTACAAAGTTGTTGCAAGAAAGGACACATCTAAACGGCTCTGAAAAAGATAAACCCACACAAAATGTCGAAAGGAATGAAAACATGACTACAAAGCTGAATGAAAAAGAAACCCTTCCTACTATAGACCATTTTCTTCAACATTTAAATATTCCATCTCTCCGCGAGTCCAGTGATGTGTATCCATTCTTGAACAGATGCCCCAAGTTAGCAATCTCGCGCATGCTTAATCGTCACTTGTTGCCATGGAGAAAACCTCTAGAAAAAATCAGTAAAGATAACTTAGATGATAACGTTGTGATGATTGAAGGACATTCTATTAAGTGTAGCTCGGACGTGAATAAGGGTTGGATGCATTGTTTTAATATTAGACCAGACGACAACTCATATGATGTACCAGATATCAAGAATCGGTTTGGTTGTGGTATAGCAACGTTCAACAACAGTCTCTATGTTGCAGGAGGAAGTTTTTACAGTCCCACCACCATAAGGCAGATTATTTCAAATGAATTATTTCTGTATGACTTTGAAAGAAGATGTTGGTGCCCCATGGCTAAAATGGTAGAAAATCGTTGTTTCTTCAGTCTGGTGGCATCCAAGAATCGTTTGTATGCTATTGGTGGGATAAATTCCACTGTAAATGAACAAGGCAATCTACATTTTCACATTTCCTCGACCATAGAAATGTACGACCCTAAACACAATGTGTGGCATGTAGTGGGGAATCTGCTTAATAAGTTATGTTGTCATGGCGCAGAAGCAATTAATGATGTCATCTACATCATGGGTGGCATGCATGAATTTAGATGTAACCAATCTGAAGGATCAAGATCAGCTTATTCAACAATTGGTACTGCATGTAAACGCAGCAGTGTAAACATGTGCTTTGACACTGTCATGTGCACATTTTCGCAAAAACGAACACTCCTTGTTAGCCGTTCTAATCATGGCACCTGCAAAACCCCAAAATTTGGCATATTTATAATTGGTGGAGAAAATTCTGATGGGTGCATGCTAGACACTATTGATCTGTACAGTCCAGGCACCGACTCATGGTCACGACTGGGAAGTACAATCCCACATGGAATCATCTGGCCAAGTTGTACATTCATGGAGGATACGATTTATATTCTGGGAGTTGACAGTGTTGCTATGAGTGATAAGAGTAATACATTAATCAAATACAACATGAAGGCGAATAACTGGGAGTTAATGCAGAAAACCGACAAAATGCCATACCCACGGATTTGTACATTGAAACTACAAAAGAATTTAACACCAGAACAGGGCACTATTGACCTTTCACGCATTCGTAAGTACCTTTCTATATTTTTTATGTATTTATATATGTTTATATTGTATGGAATGCAATAACCCCTCCGCGATGGAAACACATTTCCCTTTACTAAGCACTAATATGTCGATAAGTAATTAATCTCAATGTTAGTCATATACAAATTAAAACTCACAGAAATGAGTATGATTTACATAATAAGTTTTAAAAACTACAAATGGAAGATAATAGATGATGATTATATGCTACCCATTGTGTGTAGGTGTATGTGAGGGTTTAGCAATATATTACAATATTTGTATATTAGATAAGATACCAAAGTGATGCAGATAGTATATATAATAATCAGACCAACATTTTATTTCAGGTTTATTTGGACCTCTACAAAATATTGATCAAGGACCACACTTTTACAAATTGCCGGTTGAAAATGATGCTGAAAGTCTGAATGATGAGAAGTCTCAAAGTGAAGTAATTTCCCAAGACATGGATAAGGTTGCTGCAAATTTTCAAAGGGAAGAATCAAATAAGTTAATTAAACAAGTTTACAAATTGTCAGAAATAATGACTAAGAGCGATAAAGTTGTTTTAGTAGTAGAAGATAAGAAGTTCTCTTGTAGCAAAACCCTATTATCTTCATGTAGCGATTATTTTAAAGTCATGTTTACAGGAGGATTGAAAGAGAGTACTACAAAGCAAATGGAAATTCAAATCTTCAGCATCTCCAAAGATGCTTTTTGTGCGATAATGCAATATATTTCTTCTGGATGTTTGTCATTGGATGGTGACAATTTCATAGGTGTACTACATGCTGGAAGTCATTTTCAAATTGCTGCAGTAATGGAACTTTGTCTGCAGTTTTTACGTGAAGGCACCTGTCCTCAGAACTTTGTGGAGAGCTTCAACATAGCAGCTTTGTACAATCTACATGATGAATTCATAGGCCGACATGAAGTGGTAAACCTTTTGGATGTCTTCATAGATGTGGCAAATTCTTACCAATCCACACTGTCTGACTTATCTCTGGAAAACATGATGTATCTATTGAAACAGCCAAGAATCCAATGTCATAAGCCACTTAAGGTGTTCAATATCATACAAGCATGGATCAAAGAAAACAAAGGTATCAGAATCAACGATGCTTCAAAATTGCTTCAAACAGTGAAATTTTCTAGCATGCAGGTGGAAGAACTTGTTGATTGTGTAGTGGAAGACTGTTTCAAGATGGATGACCCAGTTAGTCAAGATCGAATAATCCATGCACAGCTCAACCACTTTTTTCCTCAAAGACATGCTGAAACAAATGCCTTAGACGAAGATGACGAGGAAGAGGTACTTATCTCGATGGAAGGTTTAGCGATTAATCGACAGGCTCATCTACATAGACTGGATAAAAGGATTGGTAGATGGAGAAAGTTGAGTCGAATGCCAGTAAACCAACTCTCATATAGAGTAGCTGTTGTTAACAATGTCCTTTACATTGCCGGTGGGGAGATCCATGAAGCTTTAGATGATGACCGTAGTGGTACAACATTTGCCACAGATGAGGTGTATCGCTATGACCCAAGGCATGGTGGCTGGGCCAAAGTTGCACCAATGAATCACAGACGTACTGATTTCTGCTTTGTCTCATTGGATGGAAAACTATATGCAGTATGTGGTAGAAACTGTAATGACAAATATGGCATGAACATTGTAGAGGTATATGATTTACAAACTAATAGTTGGACATTGGTCAAGCCATTACCGGTCAAACTGTATGCCCATGCTGGGACAGCATACAAGGGAAAACTCTACATCACTGGTGGTCATCCTGGCTCTCCTTATTATATCAGCAAGAAGCTATATACGTATTGTACAGAGATTGATGAGTGGGAGATGAAAGAATCTATGAATATTGAAAGAACATGGCACAGTATGCTTACTGTAGGTGATACTATATATGCAATTGGGGGGTTGAGCCATGATCGCATCAACTGCTTGTGGAAAATGGAGATGTACGATCCATGTAACAATACATGGGTCTTAGCTGATACACAAGGAGCAATACAGATTCCTGGCAGATCTCTTGGTACAACAATAGCTGGGTATAAAGCTGTTTTCAAGGATGGTCAAATTTATGCCTTACATGGACACTTCTATGAGTATGATTTTATTGTCAGTAGAAGTGTTCTGTGTTACGACCCTTCAAAGAAGACATGCGTAGAGTCACCTCTATTGCAATTTGAAGGCTGTCAGGCATTATGTTTATTGAAAGTGCCGAAGTATTTGTTGTCTGAAGATGAGTCGGTAGTTATAAAAGGGTAAGTATCTAAATCTGTCAAACTGTCGATTCACCATGATCTGTCTAGGCTGGAGAATTTCTATCTCAGAGTCCCTGAAAATAAGTTAATACATAGACTATTGAAACGTATAGTATATTCATATATCATATATCCTAAAGGTCATCGTGACAGAATGTAAACAAATTATTGAATCACATGATCTAAAATGTAAATGGAATGATGATGTGTTCTGTATTTTCTGCCTTGTTTGTTTGTTTTATATGTGTCATATTTTACCATATTGTACTTTTAAGGGAAAGCAGTTCAAAACAAACTGGAGGCGATTTTGGCATTATGAATCCGGAATATGGTTCGAGTATACTGCAAGGTCTTTATGACTTATTTAATGAAAGTTTTCTTTGCGACGTTCAATTGAAAACAACTGGGAAATGTTATTTCGTACATGGCATGGTGTTGGCTGCTTCAAGCCCAGTCTGTAGACGTCTTCTAATGGAAGGTAAGCACCGACGTTACATGTGAATGTTTTTGTTCAGGTATTTCACCTCGGTATTTGGTATACAATTATAATTCTAACTCAAATTTAAAAGCCGAAATGGTGCATTTTGTTCTGAGGGATTAAATGTGTCTTTGAATCAGTAAATATTACAACAATATCAGTTTAATGTTGCGTGCATTGCTCCATCACGATTAAAATGTCGTCGCAAATGTTATTTTTGATCACATTAACATATTATCTAATTTATTAGCACTTAAATTATTTATTCATACAAACATTTTTTACTACATAATTATATTACGGCATCTCTATTTTTACTTCATGTTGCAGGGCAATCGTCGGTTTTTGTACATTCGGAAGACATGTCGATTAACTTACAAAGGATTGACGGAGAATATACAATCATAGAAATCTACGGAGTTAGTGCTGCAGACATCGAATTGGTCTTACATGTGTTATACACATTGTCAATCACAGATTTTGATAAACTACCGAAACTTCTCCAACTTGCTGAAGTACTTCAGTTTGAAAGTATTATTAAAATATGCAAAGCTTGTGTTATAGCAGATAAGACTGCTAATAGCACGAAATAAAGTTTTTATGGTACAGTGATGCAATATAACATCAAGATGTATTGAGGTTGTTTGAAAGTAAGATAAAATCCTAGTTAGTGGATCACATGACAAAATTACAATTTAAAGTTATCGAAAATTTCCACGAGAAAGTGTTTTCGCAAACAAAAAAATAATATCTTTTTGTTTCATTACTGAGTCATATCTGTTCGAAACATTCTCGAAAATGTACTTACTGTATCCTCGAGTTGCAGACTTACAGAAAATTTGTAAGCGTTAGTGGACGTGGTTATCAAACTGTTGACATGTAAATTTCTTGCAATGTTGCCCAATGACCAGCTATCAGAAGAAGAAAAAAACGTTGTATGCTTAAACTAGTTTTTAATTATGGTCCTTACACGTGTATGCACTTTAATCAATTTGTAATTAATATATATAATGCGGAAATCATAAAGTCATGTTTTTTTTCTAAAGAAGATCAGGAAACTTTTATTACTGTTATTTGCTCTTGTTGTATGTGATGTAACATATTCTCTATGTGTACTAGTTGTCAGCGTCCGTTTTTACTGTTATAGTTTTTTTTTAAAATTTAGATGTATGTTAATTTGCACAGCCAGCTCACAAATAATGAATCAGTGCGTTTTCAAAAACCATATTTTGAACATTGGACTAGTTTATTATCAGATTACTTACATATTTTGTGAATAGAATTTGAAAAACATTTGCCGTGAGATAATGTATGTAAACAATAGTGTGAGAACCTTGCCTATGGGTCCGTGAAACGAAAGTCTTGATATTATATTGATAGTACATTTAGGTGAAATATTATGCCAAAAAAAAACTTTCCTAGTTTAAATCTAAACTAACCTTATGTAAAATGAGTCGAGAAATACGCTGGGAAATATCAATATTAATTTAACGATCAGTGGGCTGTTCTTGGACAATAACTTTGACTGTCTCATACTTGAGGGATAACAATAAGTTGTATAACTTGTAAAAAAATTTCAAGATATTAAAGTCACGTGATGAATTGCTATTATTGTATGACATTGGATAATTGAAATTTTCAATAAAGTAAACATAAATATACCCATTCGTTATATAAACTCATAATTCTGGAAACATAACACAACAAACAATCAAAACGACTGACATATTACTGTAACAATGCATGAGTAAATCAGTGATAGAACACTATTTTATATTTCGTGTTGTCGAAAAGTAGCGAAAACAACGAGCTGCCCACAAGTGAACGAAAAGATTCGTTGATGGCGCAACTCACAATCAAGTTAACATAATTTCGCACTGATATTATTATAATGTCCGATTGGATAGAATAAAATACAATATTTTTTTATAAATTCAAAGTTTAAAATAAACTATTAATAATTATTCATGGTTTTCGATGTTACATAATAAACTATCCCATTCGACAGTAAGTTGTTGTCTACTGCCATTGGCTGGTGCTGCAGATGCATGATTTTACGTTTGAATTGATAACAGTTGTAATACTAGTATAGGATTCAATTTAAAGTAGTAAGTCACGGTTTTATGACTTGTGAGAACTAACAGTACAGTTGTGTACGGGTGTTTCTCCCATTTGAACTTGGTGCCTTATCTACTCAAGTTATTGTAGCCACGAGAAAAGCAGCCTCGTAAAATGATACGGTCACGAAATGCTACAAAAACGATTTTGTCTATGATTTATAGTCGACAGGAGAAGTCGAAATTTAAGAAAATATATTTGTTGTATCGCCGAATGAATAAAGTTGACATATCTACTAAGCCTAATGAAAATTTAGCAAAAATTTAAAATTATATTCAGAGTTTGTTACCGATGGAAAATATTTCTTAGTTTGAAAAAAAAATCTGATAAAAACTACTCTAGTAATCGCACACTCAAACACGACGTATAACACGTCGACAGCTGTACAAGTCGATCTATGCGAACTAAAGTCTTCTTCTCTGAATATTCATTGTGATATAATTGATCCATGACGTTTTCTTCAGTAAAATTTATGTGTGTGTTTCATTGGCGTAATGAAGCTTTATAGCACGTAATACTACCCGGAATACTGCGAGTTGCAAAATAGTTGAGGAAAAGTTTAAATTTCGGTTTCGTTTACTGCTACTCGGGGACTGTATTTTATGTGGATTATATTCATTGAATCTTAACCTTCAATGTCTGAGTTAGCTGTTTTATTGCAGAGATTGGGTTCCTCAAACTGATTACTTACATGACTAGTATTATGTATATATGTTGCACAATAACTGAGCTAAACGAATACTAGTACCCTAAGCACATTGACAGAGCGCAAACAACCTAAGCTCACTTGCACGCTCCGCTTCAACTGACCACTGGCATCAACAGTGTATGTTTTAAATGTAATGGGACACACCTTGCCGGGCACCCGTTCTTGGGCCACAGTGGTGGCTGCAACAAGGGACTGGGTGCCGAGTCTAACATCGCGGCTTACAGACATGATTGTATAATTACTAAGAAATCTTCACCTCCCAAGAGAATTGGTTTCTCAAACGTCAGGGATATGAAAGAAATTTCCCCCAAAAGATCGCTAAATGTAGCCCCAACGGGTTTCGTATTGTACAATGCAGACGACTCTCATCTTCACTATGACAACAATTTTAAATAGTCAAGAAAGTGTACGATGAAGTTTCATAGTCCGGCAATACATTACATATATTCGTGGTTTAGCTTCCTGGAAATTCGTGGAATAACAGTTTATATATATATTACTATATTATATTATAATTTATATATATCAAAAGAAAAATCTCTTTTGAAAGATGACATCATCAAATGATATACTACCACCAATGCAAATACGCAATAAACAATCTTCGAAGAAGTTTCCGAATAACCAAAATCTTGTCTCTGCCATGGATCTGATCTCTTTTTACCAACAATTTCTACGAAATCATTTCCCATGGAAGGTGGTGCCATTAATTCTCTCCTCATTGCTTTGCAGGATGTTCTATTACAATTGTAAATTTCCGCAAGCGAGAAGTTATTCGCAACGATGACTGGAATTACCCATGGTTGCTTACCATGTGACACGAGGAGAGGAACAAATACACAAGAAAACCGTCGTCAGATGTTTTACATTCAAATAAATGCACTATTTACGATTACGATCGTTTCTTCTGTTAGTTAGAAACGTTGCATCGTGTTTATTAGGCGTCATTGGTCATAATTAATTAATAAACAACAAAAACATTATGAACGAGTCTAACAAATATGCTAATGGTAGGCACTGGTGAATTAGGGCATTGACCCACCGTAGTCACCCACGTGTAAAGAAATAGGTAGTATTGGGGAAGTATGCTGTTGCAGTTACTGTGCTGAAATTGAAAGACAGCAAGCTTCTTTTTTTCTGAGATAAGTCTGAAAAATGGGAAAATAAACAACCGTGAAAAAGAATAGTCTCGCAGTGTTATGCGAGTATATGAGACAATAGTTTCTTATGCACACGTTATTCAATGAAACCGGGGCTTTTGGTTTTAATGGATGTTGCAATTTTTACTCTCGGTTGTACTACATAATGCTTTTATTTAGTCTAAAATTGAGAGGAAATGTATCGAAAAACATAGCATACACGTTTATTATCTTTTTATGAAACCTTACCACTGAAAAATAGTGGTGGAAACCTGATTCTTCTCAAATTGTTTTTTTTACTAGTATTTAGGTTATAGTGCATTCGTTATGCTTCCATCACCCTGAGATATCATTACTGTGCATTTTCTAAAATAACTTCTGATAGCTTGAATTTTATGAATTTTGATTTGTATTTGGAAATGATTCAGTTGGTTCTCAAAATGTCCGTACCAGTCTCTTATTCACTATTGATTATTCACTAACGCATGCAGTGACCTTGTATATTTTGCACACGTCACACAACACGGGGAATCCCCCCATCTCTATATTCTATCACGTGACGGGAAGAACCAATGAATGATCAGCACTCTGGGTTTTTCCCGAAGAAGAGTTAGTTGTTAGGCTGGTTTATAAAGGGTGCGTATGTGTAAATTTATCCAATATTTGTTGCACATACTACACAGCTGCATGCGATATTCTGGATAATTTGGACTTATTGAGAGATCGATTTAACTCGCACGATTAACTGTTTTATAAATATAGTGTGGTACAAGACCAGTTTTCGAAACACAGAAACGTCGCGTACCGAAGAATTCAATATGTCGGACTTTCTGCTATCGCCTGATGTTGTCGAAGATTGTGTTGGGCCCGTAAGCCCCGACGACATGGATGCTCGCGAATATTACAAATTTGACCCGAAATTTAACAATATAAAGGCGCCCATGGAAAATTGTACGGACTCTGGCATCGGATCAATTGGAGATTCTGCAACTAGATCTTTTAACGACGAATTCGGATCGCAAATAGACACTGATAGTTGCGCCACGTCTTTATCGACTGAGCTTGGTAATCTAAACATTTCATCTAGCATAAATAATAGAACAATTCAACAAGATGTACTACGGGGAGTAACTACACTGGCTCAAGTTCAAGAAGAAAGCACAGAAGCACAAAACGTCGTTCAAATCAATGCATTCCTACAAGACGAAGACGGAGACACGTAAGTATTACAAATTATAATTTTGTTGTTGTCGTAGTTTAGAATAAGTTTCAGCCCCGGTTTAGAACAAGTATCGTATTTTTTTCACTTGAAGTATAATAATTTAATATTGTAAGTCGTCATAGTTGCGAATGTCGTCATAACACGTTTTAACTGGTTTCGAACGTATTGTGAGAAGCTTCGGTAATTCCCTGGTTATTTCCCTCGAACAAACATCCACGTAAATTCCCTTTGCTATAAAAGGATATGCTAATTAGTCAATAAGCGGTCGTTGCTCTCTTCCTATTTCGTTGTTTACTGAACTGTGGATGTTTAGTCATACAACCATTCAGGGCGTGTAGACTATCAGATAGGGAAATAGTTTATCCATCAATTTCCATTATTTACTTGCAAATAACAATTATTGTATTTGAACCTGGTACAGGGAACAACAATTTGTGCTCTTTTTGTGAGTGTTATTTTTCTGATCAAATGCTGCATGTTAATATCTTTGAACACTTGTAACCTGATATTAAATGTTACTATGTTTTTTTTTTATAGAGATCTACATCTAGCAATCATACATAATAGAGAAGATGTTGTGGATATAATTATAAAGCAAGCACCATCATCTGCACAACTTGATATCTATAACAGTCTTCTTCAGGTATGGGCAGTTTTATTTCACTTTATCATTGATTTTTATCAGTTGTGTGGTTGCATGATGTTCAGGCATTTTTTCGACAACATCTCTGCTGAGTGATGTATAGGTATAGATACTAAATGTTCATTTTTGTTTTTACTTCAGACACCTTTGCATCTAGCTTCATATCTAAAGATGTCTAGAGTTTCTCGAAAACTTGTCATAGCTGGTGCTACTGTTGATGCCAGAGATCGACATGGGCAAACACCGCTGCATTTAGCCTGTGAAAATGGTGATCTTGAAACAGTTAAAGCCCTAACCATTCCACCAAACAATCTGGAGTGTAGACAAATGCAACGTAGAGGTGTTAGGACACAGATGCCCCAAGATTTGGAGCTCCGAAACTATGAAGGTAAATATAAATATTCTTTTGTCCAGATATGGAAATGAGGGCTTATTTGCATATGGGAATTCCCCTTATTTTCCCCAATACAAGTCCCTTTGTCTGAAACCATCTAGATACATTTATCTAGAGTACTAGTACTATATCCTGTAAAAGTTCCAGGAGTTGAAAAAATAAAACTTCCTAATTTTGGTATTGAATGTTTCCTCATTTGCTTTTCCAGGTTTAACTTGCGTTCATTTGGCAGCATCTGGTAACCATGTCTATGTGTTGGACTATCTTGTTCGCCTTGGTGCAGATATTAATGCAGGGGATGGCAAGAGTGGTCGTACTGCATTACATTATGCCATTGAAGGACAGAACACAGACTTGGCAAGATATCTTCTGGGTACATTTAACGCACATGTTGATCCAATGACATACAATGGGTCAACACCTCTTCATTTAGCCACTGGTCGAGGATACCTAGAAGGAACTCAGTTGCTGATTCAGTACAATGCTGATGCTGGACTTTATAATGTTGAACAAGAGACACCCTATGACTTAGCAGCATGTCAGCAGACTAACATACTCTCGTTTCTAGAACCATGCAAATATAATGACTTTAAAATCAATGGAAAACCAGTTTCGTTTTAATAACACTTTTCTGAATTGTTTGTACATACATGTATTATAAATTGTGTTCTGTATTTTTAATATTTTCTTTCATTAGATGTGAATGAATATCACTATATTTATTGATTTAAATCACAATTTTGGAATATCTTAAATATTCCATATTTATAGTGGAAGTAGCAGATGACTTGACACCAGGGCAATCAATAGAACACCAAGTTCAGCCTACTTTTTATGGACTTATTGTACTGTATTGGGTTTAATTATTCAAGTTTAGAGAAGAGGTTTTATAACCCAATATGTAGCATTAACCATATAATGTATCATTTCCTTCACAATCCAATAAATGGAAACAGTGATTATCTAAGCAACATTAAATTCTGTAGAATACTTTCCACTTCGAATTTATTTTTGCTGAAGGGATGCTTTAGTGAAAATAAAGCCAGTGAATATACTTTTTTTCCTATATTTCACATTCACCTCATCAGTGAAAATAAATTTCATACAAAACACCAAAAAAGCCTTTTCAGTGTAAATTAATTCCAGCTAAAATAAAATATTTTACTGTAAACAAAAAGTAAACCCAGTGAATATTTTCTCCTTTTACAGTACTTTTATTTCCTGTTGAGAATTGGAAGTGATTCGTTTGACTAATACATCTGTTGTAAAAAAGAAACCACAATTTAAAGTTGTCTATTTTTCAGTGTTTTAAATTTTAGTATATTTATTTGGAATTAAAAAACACTATTATCTGATTTTAAGGTTCAGCAATCGTTATTAATATTTCCCCAAATGCTATCCCAAAACAATTTTGTGTCACTCTTCCTAGATCTGAACAGTTCAATGCATGTTTTTTTTTCCAACTCAAAAAACATGCTATCTATACAAGTATGTAAAACTTTGTGTTCATGAGAAACCTTGTATATTAGTTATTTGGTTTTTAATGAAAATAAATATTTTTTGAAATTTCTACATCTTGTATATATCTATGTCTTGTTTGGGTACAACCATAGTACTATTTTCACCAATTATTAATGGGAACACTATGAGAAACTGGGATATTGAAACTGGTAGCCCAGCAGACCTCCATGAAATTTTGTTAGTTTTGATTCCTGGACACTGTATCTCATTAATTAAGCATTTGTGACCTGTTCAGTTTCACACAACTTCATACACGAGGACCAATGATTATTAGTACTCAAGAAAAGTAGTGGAAGGTGTATAAAATAAAATGTCAAATGCTGCGCCCCAATGATGATTATAATTTGTTTTCAAAAATGGGTATTACATGTAGTGGCAACACTATCATGATTTTATTTGTAATATGGCTGTATTATATAAATTTTATTACCGGCATTCAAAGATCATGTTTTATGATTAGATAATCACATTTGAAACATTTTGGAGAGGACAGGCAATTAGTCGAACAAGTACAGTACAGGTATATAATATATATATATATTGAGTCTCGACAAAACCAAGAATTGTATTTTACTTGTTGACTTTTCTAACGGTGTAACTCATTGTTCCTGAAATTTATATTTATCTAAGATTTTGAAGGTAAGTTTTGTAATGATACAAGTTTTTGTAGGTTTTGTTGGATTGTGTCGTTTTGGAAAACATTTACCCAAAATTTATGTGACTACGTGAAATCATGACTACAAAAAAACAGTATTTTCAATACTCCTATGTTATTGTTTACTAACATGGATAATCTATTTGATGAACTATGAACATCCACGGTCTGTGAAATAAAAAATTAGTGAGGCGGGATTATACGTCTGAATCAGACTTGAAAATAGATGGTGCAATCTCAGACATTTATGTCCATATGCCGGTGTCTTACTTATTTGCTCCAAACAGAATGAGATAACAAAACAACGACAATAACAAGATTTGGGAATCCCTATGATGTCATTACAATATACAGAAACAGTACATTCCCGTATTTTATTACAGTGTACGTATGCAATGTAATACAAATGACAACACAAACAGACTTACAATGACGCTTACGAAAGTATTATCTATTACATTGCATACATACACATGACAACACGAACAGACTTACAATGACGCTTACGAAAGTATTTTCAGTTTAGAAACATAAATCATTTGACACTCACTCATTACGTGTGTTCTATATTAGGGACAATACCATATGATCTCCAAACAATGCCATGTTGCTGTAAAATTTAAACAAAAAACGAACTACAGTTGAACTTTGCAGTTGCAGTTGAATATTTGAATCCTGTTCAGGGTCGTTTATTAGTTCCCGTTCGGACACCATCCGAAAACAGGAACTATTAATTTGGAATCCGTCCATCATCTCTCAAACACTCATTGATAGAACTTATTCAAACTTTACACAAAGAAAACACACCATGTCTTACAGATGCATTTTTTTTGAAGATCGGTACAAATTATGGCCGAAAGGTGGCAATTTTGGACATAAAATTTGCTATTTTTGATTCTCAAACGTGTCAGCAGCTGTTTCCCGGAGATGACTATGAAGATTTGGTAGAATGATGCTTCATATTGGATTACAGGTGCACGTTATTTTTTTCGCGATTCGAACAAATTTTAATCTTAGTACATAAATAGTATAAATTAAGATACATCAGCACCATTTTTTGTGATGCTATTCAATTCAGCTAGTCACCATTGTTGCAGCTGTTTCTTTGACATGACCAGGACGATTTTTATCAAAGTTGGTGTGATGATATTGATTTACAGTCGCACACACATTATTTTGTTTACATCTTTAACAACAAAAAGCTCCCAAATTTAACCATAGTAAATTTGTCAAATTCTGGCGGTGGCAATCTTATAACAACAATAATGGGCCCCCATAAGGTCATTGGATTCAGGAAAAAGTCTAGACTGGATAATGACACTGGGAAAATAAATATTATTCACTTCGCCTACTTATAAATGAAAAGATTCAGAATTTATTAATTTTGCAATAAATTGCACTCCCGGTCAGTATAAAAATAATGACTTTAATAATTTTAGAGTCACCAGCCTATTTTTCGAGTTAACTATAATGACTATAATTTTAATTAATGGTGGTCATGTCGGTATCATACTGAACGTTTTTTCCATTGATTCCTATGGTGGAGAAATCGGACCATATTTCAAACTCAGTTTTTGTCAAATAAATCAAAATAGTTTGAAATATATAATTAGGAGTTGGAATATTGGCGACAGGCATTGTAGCGACAAAAACAATGATTCGCTCACGTTTGAAAACTACCCATAAATAAAAATTATGTATTTATATGTACCTTCCAAGATATAAAGATGAAGAAGTACTCCATACTCATTTATGTACGAAATAAAGTGAAAATAGCATGTTTTGTCTGCCAGTATTTTGGAGCATTTCATCATAGACAAGAATATATCTCGAAATGTAGCCTTAATTGTGATATTGTTCATAATACAATTAAGATAATGTTGAAAGTTAAAATGAAATGAAAAAAAAAATATTAAAAAAAATATATATAAAACAATTGCTTAACGTTTTAATTATATAAGTATATAATTTTACATTGTGAGGCAGCTGGTAATTTTGATTTAATAAGCTTTCTCTCATTAAAAAGCCTTGGTATACAACTTTGCCTAAATTAATTAACATAGTTGATATTTCACTCAGTAACCCCCTCCTAATCACCACTGGAGATACTCGTGAAAACGAAATAATTCTTGAGCGATCACGAATATTGTCCAGTCATGCTACTGAGCGCAACAATACTGTGGAAACGGATTTCGTCAATCCGCAAACACAGTGACAGGTGTAAACAATGCGGGTTTCGTCTATCAGGGGTTGTTATGGGTGGATGGTTCGTCAGGTTGAATATACGGGAAGTGGTTGTAACGGGGAATGAGTAACTCGCAAGACAGTGAGTGGTACACTAGGATCGCTCGACACTTATACGCACCATTCAGTCATAAGGACACCAGTAATATAGTATAGCCGGATATTTATTACAACTACAATCGTCACCATACTCCCCCGGTCCTCTTCTCACTTAATACGCTAGAACCCCCCATTTTTATAAACGACAGTGTTAATCGTTCAACCAATAGTCTAAATACTTTGCATGCGTTGTCATGACGGCATGTGGACTCCGCCAGTGAGGGCGTCGCCCCATAGCATCGTCATGACAACATCAATGCAACTTGGAGCTATCCAATCCAGAAAGTGACTCATTCAAGTTGTGCCACGTATCCCGTGACCAGGTGTGAATACACTGATGTATGGGTGGGCGGCGCATGGTCATAACCTCAAGATTAGTCACCTGTTAAACTCTGACCATCATGGAAATTCTAGTGACATCTGTACTATTTTGTTAACCGATAACCAGAGATAATTACTTATTCATAATGGGATTTTCCATGATACTCGAAGTTCGTAAAACTATGACGTTTAAAGTTTGGAGCATCTGGCTCCACCCCAGCATTCACTCCTTCACATTGATCAAGTTTGTTTAATAAAAATTCTAGAAAGCAAAAATGAAAACACATTGTTTATGTTTTTTCTAAAACATATTTATTTTATTGTAATCAATTTAATACCCTAAAGAGGGTACAATGTCAATAACGTTTACTTTACTTTCTATGCTCCACAATTGTACTTGCTTTTTAATGTACAAGTACAATAGCACATGAGAATGTAAAGATAATCATATTAACTTATGAGATATTGTTTATTGAGTAAACTCTAAGTTGATACTATGGGCGTTAACATGCCTACCATTGTGCAAGAACTTGTGGGCGAAGCAGCGTCGCGAAAAACATCATGATTATGTAATCTCAATAACTGAATGCTTCGGAAACTATAATTTATGCTAGATCAGGACAAAAAACTTAAAATCAGATCATAAATCAAAGTTAGTTCAAATATTGTGATTTATATACGTCTAACCAGGGAGCCCTCTGGTCTGACTAGCCGCAAATGAATGTTTATTGATTGACACTCCCGCCCCACCACACTCGGATCTTTAGTTGTGGGAATCTTACCTCCACCCGACATAGATCTCAGATCTTTAGTTGCGGGCATCTTATCTCAACCAACATAGTTCTCAAATCTTTAGTTGTAGGATTCTTGGCAGGACGCGGGACTCTAGGATTCAAGTAAATAGAAGATCGACAAAAATCCAATTGTTGGGCTCAAATCTCAGACTAGTATATACTAGTCTGAGCTCTAATGAATGTGAGTTGTCACCGAGTTGGGATTTCCAACAACATTTTAGTCGTATCGAGTGTTGACCCACACCAAAGGTGTGCGTTGACCTGTCAGACGTGTCCCCATAGCATCGAAATCAAGTCACCTTCCAAGCTCATACCGACGAAAGTGATTACAGACGGACTCATAATGGAAACGTTATCAACTTGAATAGAATACATTGTCATGGTGGAATAGTGACCTCAGTACATCATCCACGATATTTGTACTCCAAGTTTCGGGTGAATTACTTCCTCGTTTTGAGCAGTATGCGAGATTCAATCAAGGAAGCACTAATAACAGCTAATAAGTGTTTAAATTGCCGGGACTAAATATAGTAACGATAACATAATATCCTAGTATGAAAATGAGCTAGACTTCCTTGTAACCACGCCCGGGACCTAGATGTAAGCCTCGCCAAACGTGTACCCGTTGTCGTAATTTTTGACCCCCTTTCTGTTTTTCTTCAAAATCGTGAAAAAATAAGTTATAAATTCTTCATCAATAATTGTAAACGTGATATCAAATCGATTTTTAAAAGAACGTACATGGTCATTAAAAAAATATGTACATAGGGACTGATGATAACCAAAATAACAATAACAAAAGGAATAAACTCAGAACGTACACAAATTTCAAAAATGAATTTACTTTAGAAAATTATGTGATCAAAATAAAGAATGCCGAACTACGTGAATGTCTAAGTAGGTTCCGTCTGAGCAATCATAAACTAAACATTGAAACAGGGAGGTACACCAAACCAAAAACCGAAATAGGAAAAGGAATCTGCGAACTGTGTTTAAATAACAAAGTAGAAGATGAGTACCATTTCACGATTGAATGCCCCTTTTACCATTTGAAGAGTCTACTAAGCACATTATAAACTTCACGAATATGAGTGACTACAATACATTTTTAAAATTAATGGGTGATACAAACCTGAATGTACAAATACCAGTTGCCCAATTTATCAAAAATAACACGAATCTTAGACAGCAACATCTTCTGGTAAATTAACATAAATACTTTTCTCCTTTAATACGCTTTTGTTTTCTCATTTCCATGTTTCATTGATTTACTGTTTATTGCTTATTTTTTTTTAATTATTATTTCATCTATTTTTTTTCAATATTATTACCTACATATATCAATAGTTGTTTTGTAATTGTAGTTTGTTTTTGTTTTTTTGTTTTTTTAAACCATTGTCGTGCTTTAGATAGTATTTTTTGTAAAATGTGTATGTTTTTTTTATATACTAGTATGTGTTTTACTAGCAGTTAGTGTAACCATTTTAATTCCTTCTGAGGAATTTTAAGTGTTTCAATAAATTATCAAACTACAATATACAGTGAGTATTCGAGTAAAAATGCTTGATGTTTGACTATAGTGGCACTAGCGAATATTTGTATATATTAATATTTGTATTTTGTAATTAAAATTAATATATCGCCCGTGGTGGCGCTGATACTGCGCGTGAGATTGACTCACCTAGGGAGTCACCGGTGACGTAAAATTAATGGCGGCCAGTCAGTCGGATGCCTCGCAAATCGAGGGTAGAGAAATCTTCCGGAAACAAGCATTCCAAGGGAAAATGTCCTGAAATCAAGACTGATGCGTCGGTGCATAGAAGAAACCTGAAGCTGATTAGCTATCCATTGATATTTTTGTTCAATCTTATCCGTACCATCTTATTACACATCAATTTAGTGCTTTGTTATGCGTATGAGAAATCGCATTCTCTGCATCTGAGATCCAAAATGGCCGCGCCAAGAAACCAAACAGCAAATGTTCCGTTTACGGAGAACTCAGTACCATATACAGGTGCTGCATGTAAAACTGACTCTGGATTACCAGAACCAACAATGACACAGCAAAGACACCACCACAAGAAAGCGTTTGATTATTTATCCAAAGCTTTGAAAATCGACGAAGAAGATGCCGCAGGTAAAATGATTTCATAGATAAACATTCACAACATGACGAATCTCACAATTTGTTGGAAAATTGTGTTAATTAACAAAACAATTAATTAATACAGCTCCTATCAATCACAAAATTTATATTACATTTGTAAAACCGCTCTGGTTTACTTGGTGAGTAATTTTTAATGCATTGTCGTTAACATTTAAATAATAATAAAACCTATTTCAATTTGATTACAATTAATTAGTTTTAATTATATACACTATATGGAAAATATCTCTCACCCCTTGGCTATTAACGCTGATTTGTCATCAACAGAGTGATTTACATCCCAAATTTTGCTTTCCTGGGCATCTCTAATAAATAACCTTAATGCCTAGACTGAATTTATGATATTTCATAGAAGATTGTGTGAAAATTAGTCGAAAACGCTTGAGCAATAACACTTGATTTTCAAGGACACAGGTTGTTTGGATGAAATTGGATCGGATGGTTTCTTTCGTTTTGATTTTGCTGTGTCTAGAAATATAGCAATGTTGTTTTTTTGGTGAATGCAAAACTTGAATCAAGTTTACTGTATGTATCAAACATGAATGTGATTGCTGGTCAAGTTCAATTATCTCAATTTATAACAATTTCATTTTATGAACATCTTTACTCTAGATTCATCAAAATCATTTGTGTTTACAGCTCAAATTTATCTTGCTAAATTATGATGCATGGCATGAAAGTCATTGTGATGGAAACAATAAATAAAATATGAAGACAACCGATAGTTTCCCTAAGTGTACAGTAGTCACAGAAGATATTTTCTGATAGTATCTTATTTTTATGAAGGACTAGAATATTGGATTGAGTTTGACAATGTGTATATGTAAACTTCTTCTGTAGGAACCAAAGATTTAGCAATCGAATATTACAAAAAAGGAATTTGTGAGTTAGAAAAGGGTATTGCAGTGAATTGTAATAAGCCTGGTAAGTCCATGATAGCACATATGATTCTTACAGTCAACAGTATTTTCATATTTGTACATTATAAAAATGCCTCACACAATTTTTATAACATAAATGTTATGGTCACTATTAAAATGGCAAGAACATTTGCTTTGTGAATATTCGTAGACATAAGTATATTTTTGAATGTATCAAACTAATAGCTAATTATGTAATGTGTTAACGACTTTTTCATACATATGCAGGAGATGAATGGGATAGAGCAAGAAGATTACAAGAAAAAATGAAAACCAATTTAGTTATGGCTACTGACAGATTACAGCTACTACGTAAGAAAACATTTTTTTTGTGAGCACTCAAATATTGATCAAAAGTCTTTTACTACTAGAATAGTTTTTGGGAAATATTTAATACCCGATACATGACCAATTATCTTGCATTGAAATTGTGCAAGGATTATGCTGTTTTTTATTTTGTTCCTTTATTAATAATGATTATTATTCAATTCTCCCTATGATGTGTTTTTGATCTACAAAATGTATGTAGGCAGTCAGACTGTAAAATAAGAATTGAGTACTCATAGCTTTCTCAAAAAATGATGCAGACCCGGTGTTCAAAATTTGATGGAATTGATAGGTATTAACATCCGATTGAGTTACTGTAAAACAATTTAATTTGATGATTTAATTTGAGGCATTGTAAAGACAAAATATTTTGTGCTTCAAAAGTCTGGCATTATTTAATAAGTTAATGTCTTGGACATGTATGTAATGCTAAGATCAAGATGTATTTTAAGGTTCAGTGTCGTTATGTCCCAATGCCGTTACCCGTTCAGGCTGTTTTTGTCTCATCACTGTTTTGTTCCAACGTTGTTTTGTTCCAATGCTATTTTGTTCCAATGCTGTTTTGTCCCAAAGTTGTTTGGTCCTGTTCTTTTATCTCTATTAATATTTACAAATAAATCTAATTTTCTGGATACATTTCTAGCAGCCATGCATACTATTTTGTATCAATCTCTCCACTTAGTGGTCAGTTCGTGTATCAAAGGACACAGCATGTGTGAACATGTTTATTAGACTTATGGGTCAATCCATTCTCTGTGCACATCAATTTGTCTCACAATCTGATTCAAGAATGGCAGAATGGCGTCCATTTTTGTGCTGAAAAATCATCAAAATAAAGTATTTCTGGCATTCCTGAACAGGATCTCGGCTGTTTACAGATAGATTTTGTTTAAACTTGGTACATACTTTGGACATTTTAGGACCTTGATGCATTTTGTTTTTCAGATGGGATTCAAATTGACCGACTGGCGGCCATTTTGTTTTAATGAATGCGGTTCTAGTGCCATATCAGTCTGACATGCTTTAACTGATTATGTTCAAATTTTATATATTAATTATACATCATGTTATAGATATGCAGATATATTGGTTTGATGATCCAATTCGAAGTGGCCATTTTTTGTTCTAAAAAACTATCAAAAAAACAAGCATAACCAGATTTTGCTGACACTGATATTTTGTTATTGAAAAAACAAGATTTAAAAATATATTCACAAAAACTCATGGTAGAAGTTCTTTTAGTAATTATACCCCCCTTTTGTGGAATGAACTTCCATTCTCTATTCGTCAGTCAATCAATATCAATGTTTTAAAAGAATTCTGAAAACTTGTCTGTTTAGAAGACAGTTCTTCATGTAAATCCGATTTTAATGGTCATGATATTTTTGAAGTATTTTGAAAACTTTTTTTTCTCTTAATTGTATTTTGGCCATTTTGTTTTAATTAATGCTGTTTAGTGTTAAAAAATCAGAATCAAGCATCAGCTTCTGGATCCTTATCTGATATGTTTATGTTCTAACTATATATTACTATAAAAAAACCCATATAATGGGGACTGTTATGGGGTATAAATTATAATTATAAATGTTTGTTAAACTAAAAGTTTAATAATGAAAAATTCATCAAAGGAATTATACATGTAATAACTACTCTGTCTACTAGGTGGGACATTTCATAAAGAATGCATAACTTCACTCAGACCCACTGTGAATGAGGGTTATCATTTTGAAGAGCAACGATCAGTCAAAAAATAAGCAGTTGATGTATATGCAATATCACAGTGTGCCATTAAATTATTTTGTATAAATGTTGAATTGCCGGGGGTATAAAAAAACGTGGGTCAAAATACAAATGCTTATCTGTGATGTTTGAATTTTAAGGATTCATCAATATCTCTTGATTTTAAATAATTTTTTAATTACTATATTCTTCCCAAGATGTCATGTGTAAAGTGTAGACCAAGTAATGGGAAAGAATATTATGTTTGGGCATTTGTATTTTTGGGCATTTAATTTCAGACAGACACAAATTTCATACTTTTCAATAAACTTATTAGTCCCCGTTTGGACGAAGTCCGAAAACAGGGACTTATAATTCGGTCTCCGTTCGTGCGTCTGTGCGTTCGTCCAGAGTCATCTCAGAATCCCTTGGACCGATTCTGTTCATTCTTTGCATGTGCCAAGTACTTTATGTGGGACATATGCACATGCAGTGGTTTAGCGATTTGATTCAAAATGGCCGACTGGCAGCCATCTTGTTTTTTGAAAATGTTGTATTTTGGACATGCTTTGTCAGTTTACATTCAAATTTAGTACATAGATCATACATGTTAGGATACATGTCTCCGACCGTCCGTGAGTTCCTGAGTCTGTCTGTCCGTCCGTTCGTGTGTCAGTCTGTCTAGAGTCATATTTCAGAATCCTGTGGACCGATTCCGTTCATTCTGTGCATGTGCCTAGTACCTTATTTGAGACATATGCACATGCAGTGGTTTAGTGATTCGATTCAAAATGGCCGACTGGCAGCCATCTTGTTTTTTGAAAATGTTGTATTTTGGACATGCCTTGTCAGTTGTCATTCAAACTTGGTACATAGATTATACATGTTAGGATACATGTCCATGACGATTTATTTCACAATTGGATCAAAGATG